GTAGGTGCTTTAGACCACTGAGCCATCTGACCCAGCCGGAAAGCTGTATTCTCATTGAGAAGAAAACATAAGAACTCTTGGTTCATCATTTCTTTTCTGTACCTATAATGTTGGTTTAATAGGTGAGGACACCTGTGATAAATGCTGAAGCAAAAGTTTTGGTGCCCGGGATTCCTGGACATCATGCAGCTATCAAACCGCCTCTTCCACACACTGAGGAAGTAGAAAGCAAGCGGAAGTTAGGAGGAAATGAGGTAATGCAACCACTTACACTGAATACCTTTGTTTGGGATGTAAGAATGCTTTGAAGAACCCAATAAGGATAGTGAAAAGAGTCAAAGTTAAATCTCTTGAAATGTGCTGAGACTGCTGTTGTTGCACTTTCTTCATCCCAGGCAGCTTAGGTTCCAGAATTGTACTTTTTTTCAAGACAAGGTCTCACTGTATAGTTCAGACTGGCCTTGAGCTCACTATGTAGCACAAACTCAACTCAAACTCACTGTGATCCTCTTGCCCCAGCCTCTCACGTGATGGGATTATAGGTATGCGGTATCATAGCTGGCTAGTCCCAGAATGGTGATTGTGACTTTTGCAAGATTAAGCTGGTCACTGTTCAGAGAAGGTAGAATTTTTATTAACTATGTTAAACTTGGCTATTTGTTAAGAGTTAGATAACAAAATCAGATAACTGAAGCCAGGATTTGCTATGATGACTTCCATTGGGTTTCGCATGTTTCTGAGTTCCAGTGATGCCTTTCTCTTGGCTGTCTGAGCAATCCTGCCTGGTTTTGTGCTGGTTGGTCTTAATCAAAATGGCTGTAATTGCTTATTGTCCTTATAAACTTATGCTCCCGAAACACTTTTTGGTTCCTGTATTGTTGCAGTGTCTTGGTCAACTTCCATTCATATTTTTTACTTTTATTTAATCTAGAGCTTTAGTGATTTTTATCCAAGGAAAAGATGGTTTTTGTCTATTGGATGGAGGAGTTAGGCATAATCTAGCTTTTATTGGAAGGAAATATGAATTGATGTTTTTTGCTTAGAAACTACATTAGGTCTTGTCTTGTTAACAGGAACCGTTATCATTTCTTTTCTGTAGGTCAGCATTGAAGAGCGCCTAGGAGCCATGGACATAGATACTAAAGAAGGAAAGGATGACCTATTGCAGACAAATAGCTTTCCAGTTCTCCTTACCCAAGGTTTAGAAAGTAATGATTTTGAGATGCTAAATGTAAGTATTACTGCAGTTTTTCAGTGAATTACAGTGGTTTTTCTTAGGTGATATAGCACACTTAAAGTGAATAGTCATATTATATTGCAGTTTTCAGTTTACTGTCATGTGAAGTTAGTCACTTGTAGGTAATTTGGTGGCATACACAGTCACCAACCTGCAGTGGGAATGTGTTAAATTCTTTAAACCTGGAATGCATTTTCTCATAGAAATATTGTTTTGAATTGTTAGGTTTTAGGCTTTAGTTCACAAAAGCCTTTATTTACATAGTGTAGCTGAACTGTAACACTCAGCATTCTAGATCACAATTTATATTTTTTTCTGTAGGAAAATGCGTTCCTGAGTTTTAACTCTGGATTCCAGAAACTTATTTCCCCCTGGCCGTGAGGGGGCGGTGAGGTGCAACCTTGGCAATGGGTAGGAGGTTCCAGGGGAAATGCAAGAGGGTTGGGGGCTCTGTGTTATCAATATTTAGAAGAAAAGTATTAGAAGTTGTGTGAAGGGAGGCACCTATGATTTCTTTGTGAGTTGGTGACTGCTTATGTGAAGTTAATTAATTCAGTCCTCATAAATTTCAGTATTACAGTGGTCTATGTCAAAGTCAAGTCTGAAAAACAATTAAAATACTCTCAGATAAGATGAGAGTAATTTATTTAAGTTCACTTGCAACAGTATTGTAGTTTTAGTCAGTATAGATGTGACTGTTCTGTAAACTGTGTATGGTGTCTCTGATTTTATGTGATTTAAGTGGGACATGTTATGTTTGTGCCCAAGGTGACTTTACAAAATGAGAGTAGATACCAGCAGGTCTCAAAACCTGAAGTTACTTTGAAAGTAACGTGTATGTGTTTTATCAGGTAGACCCTGGCTTAGAAGCTTAGGTGAGGGAAAAAGATGCTATAGGAAAAAATTGACATTTTTTGAAATGTAATTTTGAAATGTAATAGAACTTAATTTGCCATCATTACTTATGTAACAGTGCCTTGAAACTTCTGTCAGTGAATCAGCTACCAATTTTTCTTTGTTAGAATACTGTAGTGGATCACCAGAAACCCATTACTGAGCTTCAGAAATTTTCAGTAGCAGGATTTTAGTAGCCAGTGTATCATGTGCTCATTTATATGCCCATATGCCTCCCCTGATTATGGTAAGCAATTCTTCAAACTGATTAAACATTGTTTCATGTGCAGACCTATCCATTTTCAACTTAAAAACTCCTTAGAAAAGCATTAGTACAACCCATTATTATACCTAAAAGAACAGTAATTCTTTAAAATTATCAAATGTTGGACCAGCCAAATAGCTCAGTGGATTAAAGCGCCTGCTTTGCAGATGCAGGGGCCGGAAGTTTGATCCCCGGGCCTGCTGTGCTGGCCCCACCCTGGGGGCACACTGAGATAGCAATTGAGACTGGGCGTGGTGGCATGTGCCTGTAATCCTAGCACAACAGGAGGATCACTACAAGTGTGATCTGTGTAGTGAGACCCTGTAGACCCTGTCCTAAAAAAAACAAAAAACAAAAAAAACTGTTTTTACATTATTTCAAATCTTATTAGTGTTTACATTTTCCTAGTTATCCTATAAACACAAATTTCCATGTTTTGATGTACTTTGTTCAAAACAGGATCCCAAAAGTCTGTACTGTACTTGGTCAGTGTGGCCCTTTTTAATTTTCTTTTCAGACAAGCTATGTTATTTTCCCAGCAGTGTCCCACATGTTGGATATTGCTGACTACATCTCTAATATATGTGTGGTTCTGGTCATCATTTCTTCTGTAGTTAGATTTAGAAGCTCCAAGAGATTCAGTTTGGACTCTTGGCAAGAACACATCAAATGTGTTAATGTGTGACTTACTGAATGTCACAGGGCAAATGAAATGGCATTTATTTATTTATTTATTTATTTTTT